GATTCTAAGACTTTACAAAGCTAGGAGTCTGAGACTCAGTGGTTCTGCATGTCAGTCACTGCTATTGTATCCCAACTCCAGCACCGCCTGCAAGACTCTCAGTCTAGACCCTCCCCTCTCCCCTAACCCACACCTGACCTCCCTCTCCCACATCCCTCCAGCCATACCAGCTTCCTCCTTATTCTGGGGACACAGTAAACTTATTTCTGCCTCAGGGCCTTTGCATCTGCTGTTTTCTCAAGTAGCTCTTCTCATTCTTCTCTTTTGGTTCAGAAGCCTCTCCTCCTCAAAAAGTCCTCCATGGGAGTCCTCCATGACTTCTTCCCTCCTCCTGCAGCTTCACGGTACAGGGTGATGTGCAAACTGGAGCCCAGCTGCTTGGGTTCAAATATCAGCCTTGCCAAGAGACCCTGAACAGGTTACTTGGTCCCTCCATGCCTCAGTTTCCTCAGCCCTAAACTGGGGATAATAACAGTACCTGCCTCATGGAGTTGTTAAATTACTGATTAAATCCATCAGTAATATGGAAAGGGCTTTGGAGCACAGCCCAGCACGCCAGGTAAGCTCCAGCTAAGGATCAGCTCTTGTCAGCATGTACTCTTGTTTTAAAATTCAACACAACCATCATAGTTTGTTTTTTGTCTATTTATAGACTGTCTCCCCTACTCCTTATTTTATACATTTAGTAAGTTGAGGCTCAAAGAGGTATGGAACTGACCAAATCAAGGTCTCTGAAGATAGGGACTGGGCCTGTCTAATTTTCCACTGACTTTGCAATCCCTAGATCTGTGTCTGGCATATAGTAGGTGCTCAGTAGTTACCTGTGGCTAAATCAATGATGAATAAATGACCGTGACTCCATCACTCTGAGGTTCTATGCAGCCAGGAGCCTGTGCCTTTAAGACTATTTCAGCCCGCCTCTGCCCACCCTAGTCCCAGACGACCCTCAGCTCAATCAAAGTCCCAGCCTCTCTCAGAAGTAGCTGCTGGGACAGGCAGGCTGATGAGCTGGGGACCAGCATCCATGCCCCTGTCCCCTGGGGAACACCCTCACCTAGGCTGGACCAGGGGAATGAGGCAGGAGTGCCCTGGCATTCACTTTGGGGGATCCCTGCCCAGAGGTATGGTGGCAGGTGTGTGGGCTCAGGAAGCAGCAGCTAGCTCCCCCATCCTGTGCTCTGCCAGCTGCCCACTGGGGGCCTGGCCACCAGATGCATAATAGATGAGGAGGCCCAGTAGGTTGTGCCCGCCTGGCATTTCAGAGCCACTAATGAGGCCAGCCTCGTGCTTCCCACAGCAGCACATAGGCCCCCAGGGCCTCCGGCTAAATGATTACAGAAAGGAGCCACCTGAGGACAGGGGCTGCCCACCGGAGCCCCCCACTCAGCACAGGCAGCATCCAGGAGAGCTAAGGCTAAATGTACAGGCTCAGGCTCATGGTGCTGCCAGTCTTGGTTCACCACTAACTGTGTGCCCCTGGGCCAGCCATGTCCCCTCTCTGAGCCTCAGATTCTTGATCTGTAAAATGGGAGATGGGTCGTAATAATCTCTACTTAGTAAAGCTAGTGTGAGGATAGAATGAAATAATTCAGATGAAGTGCTCAGCCCAAGGCCTGAGACCCAGGAAATGCTTCATATACGCGAGCAACTTGTCCCACTGCGTCATGGGGAAATAGCTCAGTGACCAGATGGGCCCTCCTGCTGGGAGGCATGGGGCTGCGCAGTGACCTCTGTTTTGGAAGTATTCAGGATCATCTCACTGTCCCCCTCCTTCCTTACCCCACAGCCAGGATTTTTCTCATTCCTGTGGCTTCCTCAACTCTGGCCAAGGTCCCTTCCTTGGCAGAAGAAAAAGCTGGATTCAAATCCAGCCCTTGCCAGCTGTGTGACTCTGGGCCAGAGCCTTCAATGTTCTCAGTCTTGGTTTTGGCCTCTAAAAGTAGAGACATTAAGGCAAACTTTCAGGATTGTCATCATGACTTAATGAGACCACCACAGTAAAATGCCCAGCACACCAGTGGCACTTAATCCTTGCCAGGTCCTGCCTCCTCCTCCCAGGGTCCCAGCTTTAAGATCAAAGTTGACTCTCCTCTTTCCAGGGTACTTCCAGCTCCAGCTAGCCATTTCCCCACCCTGACACTGCTCCATCTCCTTCCTCCCCCGATTAAATGTCCAGCCCCCATTAAGGCTGCAGAACCAGAGTTATCCAGTATCCCACTGGCTCCTGATCCTCCCACTGAGCCTCATTCCTCTGACATTTGCACACTTATTCTGTGTTCTTCCACACAGATAACCTGCTGATGAAGGGTAAGGGATAGGGGAAACCAGCCATGATCACGTCTGGCTTCTACCAGGCCTCACTGCTCCCTTAATTCAAGCCTCTACTCTTAATCCTTTTTAAAAAATAGGTGGGGAAAACCCACACCCGCTTCGGGAAGCCCTCCCAGCCTACTTCACAAAGTTTCACCTGTTTCACTCTCTACACACATTCAGTTCAATCCCACAAACATTCATTAAGCATTTACTGGGTTTGGGTAGCTGTAGAAGACTGTGTGGAGGACAGAGAGATGAGAAGAGTACAGTCCAGCTTTTATGGGACTCACGCTGAAAAGTGGCCCTAAGTCAAAAGTAATTCAAGCAACTCCTGCTTTCAAGGCCCTCAGAGCCTGTCTCGCACCTCAGTGTTATGTGTATATGTTCAACTCACCTGAAGTTAACTCACTGAAATATCCAATTCATCAAAGATTATCAAGTGGGACTCTGAAAGAGAGAGTGACCTGCCCAGGGTCACATCTCTAGGATGTGGTAGAGGCAGATTCAAATCCACATGTGTCAGACTCAAAAGCCATGATCTTTCCACTACCTCAAGAATGAGCATTAATGTGTGTTCTACAAGAATGATAAGCAGAAGGACTAGTTCTAAGGAGAGAAAAACAGGGTATGGGGATCAGGAAAGAAACACTCAACAAGTGGTGATAAAAATGGGCTGGAAGTGTGGTGAAGGCTCGTGGAGATGGGAGGAGAGTGTGGGTCAAGAGGAGGGACAATGTGAGCAAAAGCCTGGAGGTGGTGCTCACAGGGCCACATTCTCATCGATCAGAAATGCAGGGCATGGGAGAAGGGCATGTCTCCCAGGCTGGAGACAGGCCTTCAATGCCAGGAAATCATAATTAATAGCTAGAGTGACCTCCATTTAGAGCAATAACTGTATGCCAGGCACAGGCTGGGGCGTAAGGGAGGGCCCAGGGGCTAGCACCATGGACAGCAGCTCTGGTACAAGTGGCCATGGGGCAAGGCATTGTGGGTAATAGGCAAGTTCTTGCCATTTCAGAACCCTACTTTGTAAGTGTGTCGACTGAGGCCCGAGATGGGAAGGGATTTGCCCAAAGTCACACAGTAGTTTGTCACTGTCAATCTTAGACCCTCATCTCTGACTCTTCATTCAGGACTCCCTAGAGTGTTCCCTAGAGTGAACTTTCTGGATCACCCCTCCATCTTCAAGATTTCGCTCAACAGCATCTCTCACTGAGACCTGCCCCGTGGCCTGGAGGCCCTTGGACAAAGTGACTGAGAGTCTGGGTTCTGCACAGACAGAGCCTGGAAGATCAAGATTCAAACCCCAGCTCTGCCACTAACTGTGTGAACTTGAGTAAGTCACTTCCCCCTTCTGTGCATCACTGTTCTCATCTGTTAATTAGAGCTAACTCAGGGACATGGGAAAGATTGTGTGAGGTGATATGGTTCAAGCACCTAACAGTACCTGGTGCACAGCAGGTGCTGTACAAATAGCAATTGTTGGGATATTATTATTTAACTCCTTGATGGAAAAAGTGTCTTCCTCACCTCCATCTGTATTACTTCTCACCCTAACTCTGCTCTGGGCTTAGATTATGGCCTTGCACATAGAAGACACTCAAACTGACTTTGCACATGGTAGAGGCACAGCAGCAGGAAATACAACCCAGAGAGGGAGAGTAACTGGCCCCAGGTTGCACAGAGAGCATCAAAGGAAAATAAAAGGGCAGGCCCTGGAGCTCAGCCCCTGGACACCCTGTGTGCCTCCTGCCCCGGTGTGGCTTCCGAGTGGGGCTCTGGCAGCAGGTAGGGCAATGGTGCCAGACAGGAGTCATCTAGCAGCTGGGGGGCACTGCAGGACCTGGGGACCCCGTGAAGCCCTCAGCAGGGGCAGGAAGCAGGAGCCAGAGCCATTGCAGGCTCTCCTGCTGGAGTTGAAGTGGCAGCAGGAGCAGCCAGCCCAAGTGCTGCTGGTTCCAGAGAAGCCGGGAGGCACCCGCCTGCTGGGGCATCCGGGTGCGGTGAATCCCGAGGTGAGGCTACACCTCCACCCACTGCTTACAGTGCTGGGGAAGCTGTGGACGCTCCCTCCTCCAGAGAGAGGCAGCCTCAGACACAGGAAATGGGCTGGAGGAGGGGGTTCTGAGGTTCTGTATGGAGTGGGAATGGAGGGCTTGGGGGACAGCAAAAAGGCTAAAGGCATCCCTAGTGCAGCCAGGAACCACCATGAGATGAGGTTTTTTTTTAAACAATGTGCTATGAAGTTTAATTAACCAGTACTGGAAGGAACAGAAAAGAGAAAAGGAAGGAAACAATTTCAGGGAGGGCCTACATATGCCAGGACCTGTTTCGATTTTTTTTTTTACAGCTTTATGCTCTGTTAAATAGGCATTTTAATCCCCATTTCACAGATGAGAATATTGAGGTTCAGAGAGGTACATGAATAGCTGAAGATCACACAGGCAGAGGCAGAGCTAAGATTTAACCTAGTTTGCCTACCTTCAAGGCAGAGCTCCAGAAAGAATTGTGGGGGAGACCATGTGGGGCAGAGCTAGTAAGAGGTTCTGCCCACCCCGTCACCTGCAGAGGATGGATGGAGGCTTGGTGGGGTCTGGTCTGGAATTATAGGCGATGACAGTGATTTGGGAATGTCCTCAAAGTTCAGCCAAGTAGCCCAGCCCCTCCCAAGGTCCCTCAGTACTCACCACACACTTCGGCGAGGGGTGAAGGACTTGTCCACCCTGAAACACAGCAAGAGGGGCAGCAGGTGAGGGGGCAGCCCCTTCTCATCAGGCTTTGGCCAGTACGTCAGGCCAACCCCAACTCACCACCACCTTCCCAAAGGGGCCTGGAGGAGGTACTGGTGCCTGATGCAGTCATCATTCCCCGTAGGCTGAAGGGGTCCTAATGTCAGATTAGGGACATGTGAAGGTATGGAGTGAAGGAATAAGGAAGAGAGGCAGCATTGGGGATAAGGGGGTAGGGAAGCAGGGGCCCAGGACCAGGCTATGGGGTGGTAACAGGGGTGGGAGTCAGCATGGGAGATTCTGTAACAGGTGGAGTGGGACAGTGACTACAGCAGTTTGGGGTCAGAGCAACGAGGTAGGGGTGTGGCTGGAGCCAATTTAGAGTGTTTCCAGACAGAACTGAAGAGTGTGGGTGTTCATAAAGATGGGCAAGAAGACCACCCTCCCCCTCCCCCAGTGGCCTGCCTCGATTCTGGAGCTGGAGCTCACTCACATCCACGCAGGGGGCAAATGCCTGGGAATCTGGGAGCGGAAGACCCATGAGGATCTTCCTGTCCTGCCCTGCCCACCCCCTACCCCCACACCCGGCCCCTCAAAGCAGAGCCAAAGAAAGACCTCAAGCCTCCAGAGTTCAGGGACTATTCCCAGATTTTGTCTCTCCCAAATCCCTCCAGGTCCGGCCTCAGGAAGAGTGAACAGTCTGTGCCCCTTCCCCAAGGCTCCGCTCATTGCCCTCTGAGGGCACCTTGGGGTAGAGCTGGCTCCACCTTCCTGCCCTGCTGGGCACTGAGGGGCTCAGCTGTTGGGACAACAAACAACTCCTACCTCCTTGCCAGAGGCCAGAAGAGAATGGGAAAGGGGCTCCAAACCAGACTCTGCCAGCTAAGAGGGGGATCTTCTGAAGAAACATGGCTGGGGTCTCCCAGGGATCAGCTAATGTGGACTCTGCACATAGGGAAAGTGAGGCCAGAGAGGCCAGGACTTGCCCAAGGTCACAACAGAACACAGCCCCACTCCCCGGGCTACCTCTCGGTGTCAGGGGACCAGGAGTCTCAGGGCTAAACCCAGGCCCATGGCCTGAGGCTGGCAGGGCCCTAGGTAGGGAGGGCAGCCCTCTTGTCTCACACCCCACCCAGCTCCTCTGCCGGGGTACCCTTGGAGGTTGAGTGTCCAGAGAGGTGACACACCTTGGATACAATTCCTACAGCTCAAAGACATGTCCTGCACCATTACATGCCTGAGCCCCAAATGCTCTGCACCCAAAAGGTGGGTCCTGTGTGTCCCTCTGACTGCAGGGAGTCAGGGCCTGGTGAAGATTATGCAACTAACTACTCGGCCAGCCAGGAAAGGGGTTCTGGCCCTTCCTTCCAATTTACCAAATCTCTGCGATTCCTAAGGCAAGGACTCTCCCAGCCCAACTCTGCACCGCTCTGCGGTGGGCACTTAGAGTCAGGAGGGAAAGTGACCCCAAGTTGGGCCAGCCACCACTCTGACTCCTCCCTTCCACAGGTCTCCAAGCCAAGGCGGCCAGCAGCCCTGGGAGGAGGGTGTTCCTGAGAGCCAGGCAGCTCTAGCTAAGGGCAGCCCTGGTGCCCAGGCGTAGGGGTTGGCGGGTGTCTGCTAATGGCTTCTAGGTTCCCTTCTTCCAAAACCTCAATGCAGGGCCCGAGCAGCTTCTGGGGCCAAGTCCCGGGCTCCTGCAGGGCCTCCCGAGACCTGCCTCCTCCCACCCCCACTACCTATATGCGCACCCAGGAGTGCACATACACAGGCCCAGGCTGCCTGTCCACATACAATCACATAAATACTGTCATGCACTTAGACACAAACACAGAAATGCCCACGGGCACTCACGTTCCCACACGTGCACATGGGCACGCAGTCGGAGCACACAGGAACACACACACACAGACTGACCGTACAAGCTATGCACTGACATCAAACAGCTCACACACAAGCACAAATTCACAACTACACAATTCCCCAAACCCAAGGCAGACACCGGCGGGCGCGCG